GGCTGTGGTTCACTTGCAGTGCTGCATCCTTACCCATTGTGCCACCAGGGAGAACCTGGTTGTTTTTTTAAGTTTGACACAATTTTATTTTACAGCAAAATCAGATCTGAACTGCTATTATTATGGCAGAATTCCATTAAGAATCCAGGCAGGACTTAGAGATGAGAGAAGATCTTTATTTATGCTGGCAGGCCCAGAGGAGATCTTTCTCAAAAGAATCAATTAGGTAACAGAGTATATATTGCCTAAGCAGGGGTACAGTTACACTTTGAAGCAAGCAGGAAACACAGAAGCAGGAGATTCCTAAGCAGTTATATGGGTGTAAGTCAGGTGTGTGGACTTGAACATGTTTATCAGTTACTCCCTGGAACTTTCAGTCTACATTGAGGGTTTGTTTCAGCATACCTTAAAACATCTTCCACTTCTATATGAAGTTAAAAATTAATTTGGTTTGTTCCATTTGTCATGAATGTGCAGATACTCATGGCGACGGAAACATGAATGTGTTTAATGATGGGATACTAGTTGAACCCCACTGGAAGTGGTACGTAATATTCAGTATATTCACAGTATTACCTTATTAAAATGTTTTTTTTAATCTGAATTTTTGAAGGATTCCAAGTAAAGGATTGTAGAGGTGAATGAAGTAAGTTGCAGAGTTCAGGTTTATACCTCAGGTTTTCTGGCTTAAAAACCATGCGCCCAACTACAATACTAGTGAAAGAATATAGGTTAGGTTAGGTTCTTTGTCCTTTAGTAACTCAAGTGCACTGACCTAGAACCATTACTAGATACAAAGACATTTCCCAAGTTATTGCCCCAGGTTCTACTACTGTCATAATCTCTGTAATATCTAGATCACACCACAGGGACTCTACCTGAAACCATTCATGTTCCCACATCACTCTAACTTTGTACCATACCCCCGTTCTTCAGTAGATGCTGTGGGAGGTATCAGGAGGAGAGTAGCCTAGCTGAAATCATGCACCCTCAGTAAGACATTAAAAATACTCCTGGCCCTCCCTGATGACGCAGCAGGTTAAAGCACAGCACTAAGAAGCTAAAGCCACTTCCACATGAGTTTGATTCCCGCCTGCCCCGGAGGTGACCACATGGTGTGGCAGACCTCTCCTGACCTGCCTGCTGCTCCCCTCAGCAGTGTACTTCATC